TCGTCTCGACCCAGCTGCTCTTAAAATAGTTTAAAAGGAGAAAATAGACTCGGAATTAGAAAAAAATATTGTGGAAAACTTATTGAGTGGTAAACTATGCTATTTTTCATTGAATACACTTATCAGTATATGAAACAAGGAAATTTAACTATAATATAACAAACTCATAATCATAAAAATAAAAATCGACTTAGACTTATTACAAATGATTTGTCCATTGTTTAAAAGTTTAAGTGTTCGATTTGACATTACATTAATCAATGTAAAACAGGAAATCTTGATAAATGGGTGTTATAAAACGCAATCTTCAGGTTGGCACCCCTGGTTCGGCAAAGTAGGCCTCGGCCGGTGCAGGGTTAACGGAAATAATCACTTTCTCGAGGGAGATAAAACTTTGCTGTTTCCACCAAAGAGTTTGACAGTAAAACAGCTCTTCTTTGGCCCATTTACCAGTCGAACGAAGTTTAGTTCGCCTAAATTATGTTTCACAGTATATTTTCTTGGTACTTACTAGTTTTTATTGGCGGTTTCGTTCGCAAATATTTGAGACATGCGACAAGACGAGCTCTTCCAATTAAGCTACCGGATACTTAGCGATAGTATCGTATTTCTCAATTACTTCTTGTTTGGAAGATTAATTTACCATCAATGTTTAGGTAATCTACCTACCTGAATTTGTGTGGAGCTCGGAGCTGTCCTTGCCAAATCCCGAATTCTTTCCCCCTTTAGCCTTTAACTCGACGTTGAGCACAGCGTAGAACTGCAAATCGTGGAAGCAGAGTCTTAGCCTGCGTCGACTGCTCTATCAATTCGTCACTCTTTCGTCCAATATTCTTTGGTTCAGACATATATGTCTCAACCAAAGGAACTGAAGGAAAATTGTTACAATTATTTTTGAACTTTGAAATAAAATACATCTAAGTTATTAATTTATAATTTAGTAATTAAGAATGCAAAAATTCGCAAAAAGTAATTTCGGAAACTGAGTAATTAAAAGTTAATTCAGTGAAATTGGGTATACAATTTTATATTTAAATATGATACGAGAAGACAAACAGACACACGATAATAAAGAGTCGAGAGAGAAAGAGAGGAGCTCGAGATAATAAATTTATGGTCACCAATCTAAAACCGGCCATTGCAAATGTCGCTTACCAACCATATTTCAGACCGAGCGCGCCATCGAGTTTCTATTTAGAAATAATGACTACCATTTCACTATTCTTTAAACATAGAGATACTTTAAACATTTTTTTAATCAATTAAAATTTTTGTTTTTTCATAATTTGTAAACTTGTATTATATTTTACTCGCTTTCGCCCGCGACTTCGTCCGCGTGGTAAAGTTACTTTGAGCAGCATTTCTAACGAATATTTATTCATTGTATCGTGTAAAAGACCTGAAAAAAAGTCTTATCCTCTTAGCTTATGCCCTTAGGGGTGGAATTTATCAAAATCCTTTCTTAGGGGATGCTTACGTCATAATAGCTTTATGCATGCAAAGTCTCAGCCCTTAAAATTGACAAAGTTTCATACAAACTTTCATCCCCTATTTTATCCCCTTGGGGGTGGAATCAATCAAAATCCTTTTTTAGAGAATGCCTACGTCATAACATCTACCTGTATGCCAAATTTCAGCCCGATCCGTCCAGTGGTTTGGGCTGTGCGTTGATAGATCACTATGTCAGTCAGTCACCTTTGAGTTATATATATTTAGATTATTTTCCCGTGGGAATGCGTCATTTTTCCGCGGTAAAAAGTAGCCTATGTCCTTTCTTGGGTATTAAAATATCTTCATACCAAATTTCATGCAAATTGGTTCAGTGGTTTAGGCGTGATTAAGTAACAGACAGACAGAGTTACTTTCGCATTTATAATATTAAGTAATAAGTATAGATTTGATTTGTGACAATATTGCAAATTCTGTACACACCTATTATTAGTGCAAATATCAGATGTGATTCTTGGTATTATGTTATTATTTTCATGATTTTTGTACTGTAAGTGTGTCTTATGATAATAAATAAATAAATATATAGAGATAATAATGTCAGCACACTGTCTACGAGTATCTCCTCCATTCCTCCAAGAGTTCGCTACAAGTTTGAATATATTTGCATAATTGCCGTTTTTAGGGGCCCCGGCGCTCATCGGGATTCCATTATGAGTGCAATCAGATTCAAAGTCATTGCTAACGACGAACTTTTTTTGTAGAGCTTTGTTAAATTGTCCTAAACGTTTTTTACATTTAAATGTGTAAAATGAATATTAATAATTATTATTATTTATTAATTTATCATCTCGATTCTATAAACTAGCTTGAATCTCACATTCTTCTGTGATAACGAAGATTAAGCAACTTTTGTAAAAGTCGGACATGGGATGGGTGACCAAAAATTTATTTCTCTACCTATAATTTAATGATCTTGTTAATATTCTCATTATCCTATTCATATTATAAATGTAAAAGTTTCTTTGTTTGGATGTTTGTCGGTCAATCACGCCAAAACTACTGAACAGATTTTGATGAAATTTGGTATTCAGATAGGGTATTAGCTGACTTAGATAATAGGATACTTTTTATCCCACTAAACATTTCCCTAGGGTCCACGCGGGTGAAGCCGCTGGCGAAAGCTAGTATAATATAAAATAAAGTAATTGTGTACCCTATTAGGTGTATATAGAAAGCAAATTAATGAGTATATTCTAATATATGAAATAAGAGTACATTTTATAAGTAAAATAACTATAAATAATAGCATTTTCAAGGGAAGAATAAATACATATTCAAATAAGAGACAGTTAGATTCTTTTGAATAGACAAGTACTATTTAAAAAAAGTATAAAATTAGATTGATCGATTTTCGTTCGTTTATAGTAAGTAATTAATACAATATCAGATTATGTAAATTACTTTCAGTTTTTAATTAATCTTGTATATGGGCTGAAGTAACATTAAACAAAGTGTTTTTCTTAATTATTTTAGTCGACAATACACATTTGTTTAGGTACAAGCTAAACATAGGAATACTTAATGTTGTCTCAAACCAATATTATTAAAAAATCCTAATATGCCCAAACCTGTTGCGGGTTAGCAGGGGATGTAAACTCAATAGTTTCTGGGCCTGCTTGAAAATCGTTTTCGATCCGGACTTATTACCATAGGATTTTCTTTTTTAATGTCGATAATATTATAATAAATAAAATAGTTTCTACATTATCTAAAAGTAACTAACAAAAATAGAAACTTGGATATTATTCCACTTTTCTCCTGAGACTATAAGAAACAAGTAAGAATTTTCTCTTATCGGTCTCTAGGGGTATGAAAACGGTTGTAAACATTATATATAGATACCTGTTTTAAACATCAATATTATTTGGTATATACAATATAAAAAGGTTTTGTTCACGAAAATAGGGGTCAGAATTTGTTAACCATAGACGACCACCATGGCTGAGTGGGTCGCATGCTAGTTTCAAGGTGACATTTATAAGATCCCAGGTTCAATTCCCGATCGGGTAATATAGAAAGGTAATAAGAAAGGTTTTCTATATTGTCTCTGGTAAGAGTAGGCACCTCCGTTATTTCAGATTTCTGAAAAAAAGCTAATATCTAATTTAATGCATATACGCTGTTGTCTATCTATCTATATCATTAAGCCGTATCCCCGGCGGTGTAGGCATAGAGGACCGAATGCCAAAATTTACGGTCCTTATATACATCCTTTGCCTCATCCACATTCATTACTCTTTTCATACATACCCGCCGGTTTTTACGGCTTCTATCACCTTCTAAATAATGAAACTTATATTAAATTATTTATTAATTCATCATCATCATCATCAGCCCTTTTACGTCCTCACTGCAGTGGCTCAGGCCTTCCTTATGGATGGTTAAGGAGTATGGGCCATGACCCTCCACGCTGGCCCAATGTGGATTGGAGGGTATTAACGACTGCAAATGCAGCCGGCACTAACGGCTTAACGTGCTTTCCGAAGCACAGAGTAACTCGAGATAATAATTTTTTGGTCACCCATCCCGTGACCGACCCTTGCGAAAGTTGCTTAACGACAACAATCAAGAGCCGCGGCGCTTATCCACTACGCCGAGCTACTGGATTTAATTAGCAAATAGTAAAACTGCGCTGTTGTAGTAAAACTGTATCTTGGTCCTCTCTGTCAAACCCGCGAGGTATAAGGCGTAAAGATATACTCGTAGTACAGTCGCTGAACAGAAATAATTTTGTACGTTGACCTTTGTGCCTATTGTGATAAAATTGGCTAAATGCATATGTGCGAGCGCGATAGCAATATATATGCGCACGAATGCAAGAGACATGTATAACAAAGTCATTATAAGAAGTTCTCACTGATCGACAACCTTGCTATAGATTGAATACCCGAAAACTGTAGCAATTATTGTAAAATCCCAAATCCTAACAAATCCTACTCCTGACTCGCATACTTATAAATGTTCACATAAGCAAAGTTATATAATACGAGCTGTAATAACTCCTTTTTTATTACAATTTATTTAGTGTAACTTCGTCTTGTTCACAATCCAATAGATATTGATGATTGCTTTATTAGCACCGTTAATCTTCCTCGTCCGTTTATGTCTTAATCTTTCAATAGTTAATAGAAATACGACTGCAGCTGCAGCCAGGACCAAAAGCATAACGTATCTTCTGAAGCATGGAGAAGTGCGATTGTGCAGTGTTTGGCGCGTTCGATCTCAAAAGCAAAAGTTTAGCAACTTTCGCAAGAGGATGTGAAATGGGTGACCAAAAATTTATTATCTAGAGATCATCCGTGCTTTGGAAGGCACTTTGTGTAGTTAGTCCCGGCTGCATCTGGTAACACCCACCAATACGTACTGGACCCGCGTAGTGGATCGTGGCCCATTCTCCGTATTCGATTCAATACCATCCATAGATAAGACCTATGCTGAGAATATTAATAGGCTGCTGATGATGACGATTTTTATTATTTTGTGTACAGAAACGCGCGCGCCGCTTCAAGAACCAGATCCTGTGCGACCTGCATTTCGCGGACGTTGCGCTGATGGAGTGCAGCGATTTCATGCAGCAGCTCCGCAGTTTCAAACCGCAGTCGCTGGGCTGCGCTGTAGCAAGGCGCAAGTCCTCCACGACACTGATATTCCCACTGCCACCACAAGCTTGTTCAGGTGAGCTGATTCATCTTAACAGGAAATACTTAAAGCGATAAGTTTGCCAGTGGTGGATTATACTCCAGGCAAACTAGGCCCATGCCTACGAATCATGATGTAAATTTAGAAGAGTTTATTTATTTGAACTAATTACGTTAAAAGAGTTAAGAGTTTATCTATTTGAACCACAGCCGGAGGATAAAAAAAAGTATTTTTATTTTATACCTAATTTAATTATTAAAGAAAAATTACAAGGTAAAATATTACTATAACTAATTACAATATAATGTCGACCCAAACGATATAAGAATGTAAGTCCGCTGTCGCCAGGTCACGTAGTCGACGTCGAAGATGGCACGAGGCATAGTGTCAGCAGTTCCCGCCAGTTGCATTAATTGGAACGATGAATGCGCGTGCTCAGCATTTTGGGCCGTGTGCAATGTTGTTCGCACATTATGCTAACTTAGCGTAACCCCTACTATGCAATCTCGTAACAAACTATATAAACGCGGGAACTACTGAAACGAATAGTTTTTTTTTGTGTTGATTAGTCCATTAATCGAAGAAGGCTATATAACATCACGCTATAACTAATAGGAGAAGAGCAGCAATAAAAAATGTTGTAAAAAGGGAAGAATATTTCACTTTTTTGAGCTTTCCTTGCGTGTTCTTCATAAACGGTGAAAGATGCGCAAAAATCATCTATGATGAAATTGAAAAAAATATATTTATCTTATACCGAAGAAAAAGCACATAAAGGGATGAAAATGGGGGTGGAAGTTTGTATAAGGCATTAGAACGTTGCTAGAGTAACCAACCATTGTCATTATATTCCTCCTTTTCCAAATCCATTATTAAATGACTTAAGCTCTTTACGCAGTATTAAATAATCTTTTGTATAATTCAAATCGGCACAATCGTTGTCGGTAATATTAAATGCATATACTATGTTGGTTAAGTACACGAAAATATTACATTTAGCTAACGCTACGACCACTCGATTTTTCTAGGTAGGTAGGTAGAACTAGGTTTTTCCAATAACATAATTTAATTGAAAATTATGAATAGGGCGAAAATAAAATGTCACATTTAGCTGTTTTCGCTAGATACCGCTATTGTACTATTAAAACGGGATTTAGATTTTTGTCTGTAATCTTTATATTTTCCGATTTTTATCCAACAAAGTAACTTCCGTTTTAAATTTTGCAGTTTTTCTAATAATATAATTTAATAGGAAATTGTTAATCGGGCGAAAAAATAAAGTACATTTAGTTGTTTCAGTAGATGACGCTACTGTATTTATAAAACAGGATTTTGATTTTAAAAATTTTTGTTGTCTTTATTAATTTTCCAATTTTTATCAAACAAAGTCGCTTTCATTTTCAATTTTGCGACTCCATAGCCAACAAGAACCCCTTATAGATTTATCATGTCCGTCTGTCTCTCCGTCAGTCTGCAGTTTAGTTCAAAAACGATTTCTATTAGATAAGAGTAATTTAACAAGAGTAACCACTTTAATCACGCCGACAAAGTAATCAAATAAAATCTTGAAAAAATTGTTTTTAATAACATGTTAAGTTGAGGACGAAAAAAGATTTTTATCTTCCCATGGTATGGGGTATCATTGGATAGGTCTAAAATATTAGAGATGTGCGAAGACCGTTTTTCGTTTTAGATAACCGTTCGTTACTTATTAAGCTTCGAGCCCCCCCTCTACCAACTAAATGGTTGTTGTTAGAAATTTAAACGTTACGGTTGTAGTATTTATATATAATGGATTTAATAAGGAAACTATTATATACTTTAGATGGCTTCACAAATGTACGAGTAACAGTCGACCGATTAGATTTAACTCGAAACGAACGATTCCTTTCAAAACAGCAAACGTGATTATTTGTGTTTTTTATGGATAATGGATACGGGACGCTTCGTGCACCAGTTCGTCTTGCGCTTGCTTGGATTATTTTTTTTTTATGGACCATTATTAATCTGACGACAAATTAATATACTGGTGACTATTAATGAGATACTTTAATGCATAACGTGGGTCGTTCTACGAAAAATGTACTAAACTATAATTATGAAGTAGCCGATAATTATGAATGAATAAAAATCATAAAATACCTGAAATGAGCTACTTATTGTAGTTTGATCTAAAATACCATAAAATTCAAAGTTAATTAATAAATTGGACGAAAAAAAAATACTGAGTGGACAAAACTATATTCGTTCAAAACCTATATTCTACAAAATTGAAAAGATATCATAATATCCGTTGTCCGTTAGCAAAATTTAATTTGGCGTCACTCACGAAAATCAAGAAGAAAAAAAGAAAAACAAAATACTCGACTGCGTAAAAACAAAATTTAAAAAAAAATGAAAAAATTAACTTAAATAAAAAGAAAAAAAACAAGCCCAGTAGTTTAGAATTCTGTTAAGTTATACTAAATAACTACACAATTGAAATAGTTTTATAATCCATACACACATAAAACAAATAATAAATTCTAATGCAGAACAGAACGACTCATAGTCGGGGCCTCTTGGGAAGATTTGATTGGTAAAATTTGAATGGGCCCCGACTAGAAACAAACATACATACATACATACATACATAGACTGATAAACACATTGCCCTCCTTTGCGTCGCGCAGTCGGGTAAAAACCGTCAAGTTGCTATGAAGATCAGGCGTAGCATCTTGCACAAGCAAAGCTACAGGCTGTTTTTTTTAAATATTTTTGCAAGCAGTGTCGATTCTACTGCGCTCTAAAATGGAAAGAATGCGTATTTTAGAACGCAGATATGTGCGTTATCTACAGCAGTTCCATCTATTGGGCAGGACTGTGCTCCATCAGTGAGGACGCAAACAAGCTATTGACGATGTTATTAAGGTGGATGCTTACTGGCAGATTTTTAGTTAAATTAGCTTAAAACTACAGTATATCATTATTAGCTTAAAACTCCAGTATTCTGGAGTATTAAGCTAATTTAATTAAAAATCTGCCAGTAAACCTTTATAGCATCGTCGTTATTGTCGCCAGTAAAATAAAACATCTGTTGGCAACGTATTAAACATGACTTTTTCACCTTAATCAAGTGATTTAGTAACAATTTCAAAGCTTATTTTAGGGTCCAAAATAATAGGATTAAAGCCAGCAATTAAATCAATCAATTTTGGATAAAAAGTAACAGGGTCTCATAAAGGCTCTCCAATTTTCTTGATAAATTGCGAAAATTAATCGACTCGAACATTCGCTGCTCTCATTCAATCCTGTCTCTAAACTCACTGAATAATAACTCAGAGTTTTACTTTTATTACAAATAAGGTTCCTCACCGAGCTCGCCGCGAGTTAAGTGCTCGTTTAACGAGATTATTTCGCAATAATGCGATTTGAATATCAAAGTTTCGATGTTACATTTTGAATACCAGTTGAATTATAATGTCTAGTCATATAATATAACGATGGACGGTAAGTTGAGACAGGCTTATAAGCACTTTATACTTCGTAATACTAAGCTTGAGCATAATCAAGTCTCTCATTTTATTCAGTCCAACCCAAAGGTCACTCACCTTGAAGAGGTCCTATGGGCTGTCTGTTTCTGCGCATCACCTACATACAGAGGGACGTCGATGGGTTTTAGTGGGACCTTTTGACTCTTCCTTCGTCCCCACATAACCTAGCTGACCTGCACTTGGAAGGCGCGGTATGCAGTAATGAATGCATTTTCCAACGTTAAAAATCATATACCTTACTAATTGCATATACACATACGAGGTAAAAAATGCACAATGATTGAGTCTTTCTTTTTTTTTTCATTAGAACGACAAGTCTTCATGGTCACACCAAACCAAACTTCGTTGAGTGAGTATACTCATGAATACAATTCTGAAAGCTTTAAATAAACATAGATCTGAGAATTCATAATTTTTCATACAATATTATTTCACGGAAGAAGGGTAATAATTAATTTTTGTACCACATTATTGACCAGTTTTCGAAATAGGAATAATAAGCAACTTTTACCACTGTTATTATATAGAGAGAGGCTCTCTGTGTGAGCTCGTGACATAATATGTGTGCTCGTGACATAACAAATGTGCAAGAGCTCCTTGAAGCTTGTTATTTCAGTATGTTGAAATTTAGAATTTATGTAGATCGATTGCACGTTCGGTGGAACGAAACGTAATGAGAGAGAGAGAAACGTACGAGTGAGAGAAAAGATCGATGACGTGCAAGACGAATTGAGTGTTCGGAGTGGCAAATGGTAACGGATGTGCTATGATGTGCTTGGTACAAAATAATAAGAAGTGAAATAATGTGAAGAGTTTCAGAAATAGCCAATTAATTTTATTTAAAAATGGCCATCACTACAGATATACTAAGCCTATAGAAATACATCACTCAGTTCCCTGTGTGAAGATCAGCCATTGGAACTCCTAGTGTCGGCGGCGTGAATCAACTTTCTGGCAATAATTTAATACATTTGTTCTATAAAATGAAAGTTTGATTTTTTTTATGAACTAACTACCAACAATCTAATAATAATAAACTTTCAACCATTACGAAACTCTTTCTGATGTACCTTAGTGCCTTTAGTAATTCAACATACTGAAAAATCAAGCTTTAAAAGCACTTGCAGATTTTTGTCACTACCTCTTAGACTAATAAGTTAGTAAATATTAGTATGTATAATAAAAGCAATACATTTCATTATCCCTGTAGGGGTATTCTTCGTTTTCTTATGCGTTTATTCGAACTCAACCTTCACCTACATGTGAATAATAGACGTGATATTTTCGCAAACTCTTCAGATATTTATCACCATCGGGAATATCGATTAACGTCAGTACGGGACGCAAACTTGGGACAATGATCGGCCGCCGTGAAATGTAATGCAGTGAAAGCAATTTCCGTCCCATCTTACAGTGGCGGACAACAAAAATGCCTGTCAGAAAGTCTACCCCTCCGATCCATTCGACTGTCTTGTTATAGAATATTATTATATTTGTAAAGAG